GTGCAGGGTTTAGGATTTAGGGCCTTTGAGAATGGAGTTTCCAACAGCGCCCCTCCAAGCGGAGATATAGGGGGTCTACAGGGATACCTAGAGTTTGGGCATCAGGTTTTTGCAGTTTCTGACCCCTCTTGGATTCTCCAAGAAGGGACACCGAATTCTGGAAGCCCTCATACCTAATTCTGGAAGCCCTCATACCTGAAGCTCCTGCGACGGTTGACAGATTTCCACCTGGAGCCCTTGAACTGTTGGAATTCCGAACTCAGGGTGGTCTGAGATTCATCCATCGACAGAACGTACAGGTTCTGAGTGCTTCACCTACAGCAGCTTGACGATATTGCTTCGAGGCTTTGAATGACTTTTTCGATGAGGCAGAAGATCCTTAACTGGACCTCAGAGGTATGTAAAATAACACCTACGGTCCCCAAATCCTAAGCCCCAAGCCCTACAGTAGCTTCCATGTATAAGCCCAAAAATCTGGCTCACTATCTGCTTTTACCCCCAAGGGCCACAAAGGCGCCACGATGAAAAATCCCTGGGGAGTCCTCATACGTATCAAAACGGAAGCTACTGTACTGGGTTGTGATAGGGAGAATGGAAAAGGAAATGGAAACTATAGGGATTCTAAGGGCTTACAAAGGGGTTATATTGGGATAATGGAAAAGAAAATGGAAACTATTCTTTAGGGTTTAGGGTTTAAGTTTCAGGGTTTAGGGTGTATAGTCCCCTGAAGTAGAAAGAATATGGGGTATACGGGGATCTCATTATGATATTGGGGAATTCCGTATTCTATCTACTCAAGGGGGACTATAATAAGTGTAACATCATTGAGGGTGCCTGCGAGTGCACCTGTTATAACGAAATCGCGCAACATGTTTGATTCCTCCAGCGGTGTTACACCGAGTTCCTTTACAGTTCAGCCGCGGATTACTTCCAGCAAGGGGATTATACCGCCAAGTACTAGGTTCCGCATCTGTTAAAGATACCTCTTTTGTTGCGCGAGGCCGGAAAGTGCCGGGAACCGCATCTCTTGCCCGTGCCCCTGGTTTCAGGTTCTAGGGTTTCGAGGTATCACTAGTCATTCCTTGGAAATCCTCTGTTGTTTATGACTTCGACTCTACCTTGCGTGTTGCAGCACTTCGAATTGCAGTTCGAACTAGGCTATGCCTTGGAAACATTTTTGCTTTTTCACGGGCCTTACACTGGTGTTTTGCAGTACAAGCGCTTTAATCCCTACAACGGCCTGCAGTATGCTGATGCTAGTTCCATTATGATGTATTCCTTATCACGACACATGCGATAGTTCCTACATTCGGCAACCTTTATGAAGCCTCGATTCTAGACTTTACTTGGAGGAGACTCAGTTTTAGCGGGTTAGCACTGATGGGGGTAGCTGCATCGTCTGGCTTAAAGGGGTGGTAAGTAGACTTCCTAAGACTCGCGAAGTTCCGCCGACCCTGCAAGTACCTAACCTGAACGCAAACCCTACACCCTGACCCCCTACAAAACCGCAACCCCTACAGGTACTTTGGGCTTGTCAATCGTCAGACGCTCTTGCGACCTTTGCTGGAAGATCTTGCAGGCAAGTCGCCCGCAAACCTAGAGACATTGTGGTGCATAGGAGAAGGGTCTAGGGTCTAGGATTTTTGTGCGGAGGTTCCTTGCGGTTTAGGGTTAGCGGTTTGGTGTTTGGAACACAGTGCAGTACCAACACATGAGAAGGAAATTGTTTTTTATTAGCGGCTGTCGCGGGTTGTTTGTAGGGGATGGGATCATAATCTCCATATGTCGCTGCTGTTGATTATCAAAATCCTGCAAGACCTTGGTATACTAGAGTACATTACTTCCTAGGGTAACCATTAAGCTTCTTAGCATCAACTGCAGGACCCCCCAGAGTAATCCCCCCTAAGCTGACGCCATTCTGAGAATCACCCTACCTGACAGGCGAAGCCAGCGATCCAGCTATCACTGCCGGCGACTTCTTTCAGTGCCACGAGAAATATGTCAGGCACTGGGCCATGCTCCAAAAGGGTTTACGTACTGAGGGCTGTAGGGAATAAGGGAACGTAGTCCCTATATAATCCCGATAGAATATATATTCTCTTATTCCCTAATCCAAGACTCTAAGCCCTAATCCATATGAATATATCTATCTTTACACATACTTACATTCCCTTGTTCCCTTCTAACGTGTCAGAATCAAAGGGTAGCATTCCAACAAGATCCTAACCCCTACATCCCATTTAAAAGGCCTTTAAAAGGGCTTAAAGCCTAAACCCCCTATATCTACATCTATCCGTATATACAGATATACAGATAAATAGATATCCCTATAAAGCCCTTACATCCCTTTGAAGGGGCATCACTAAAGCCCTCAACTCCTTAATCCCAAAGCCGGAAGCCCGGTCCAGGCCGTGGCAAGAGCGATGGACCGCTTCGCAAGCAACTGCGACGAGCAAAACACTTGAGTGCTCTGATCCCTTTACGGGTGTTTAATCTCCGTAGCGGCGCTACATAGGGATTCCTTCAAAGGGCTTGTAGGGGTTACATAGGGATATAGGGTCCCTTGAAAGGGGTTGTAGGAGTTTCATGGGAATAGAGGATTCCTTTTAACGAGGTTCTACTGGGATATATACGGATCCTTGCAAGAGGGGTCATATAGGGGGATATAGGCATCCCTTTACAGCAGATATAGGGGGATCCCTTTAAAGGGGTTATAGGGGTAATGTAGGGATATAGCTCGCGATAATGAGAGGGGATGTACAAGAGAATATAGGGTTAAGGCTACCCATACATAGGTTGACGGAATTAGAGCACAATCGCTTTGCTGTTCACATGGACTCGAGCGTGCCACGCACAGGTCACAATCTATTTGTGCATCATTTTCGCTTTGAACTACAGCTTACAGACGCTGGTGTCAGCCCTGGTGCAGGGAGAACACAAAGGGCTTAGTGTTTTTTTATGATCTAGGTTTTGGGGTTTAGGGCCACTACTATCCAAAATGACATGGAGACTGGGATAATAAGGGGTAGATTCTACACAATTCCTATGCCCTGTCATGATTTTCAATTTACTCTGTTGTATAACCTCAAGGAACTATTGACCACAATCTTGTGGAAATAGGTCGTAGGGGACCACAGACGAAGGATTTAGATTGGGGGGGATTCTAATTGAATTTTGGAAAGAGGGCAGTCTCCTGAAAAAGGATACCCTTCAAAGGGAATAAGAAGTTTACTCAGTGGCTTAGGGCTTGTCCTGTTTTAAGGACCACGGGGATCTACTTGATTGGAGTCTGGATTTTGGGGATGCGTTCGAGGATTCAGGTCTAGAATTCTGCAGTCAACTAAGAACCTCCAGCATGCAGAGTGAGCTGATTCGATGATAAGCGGAGTTGAAAGGTGCGTGTGGGAATTACGTGTTTCGGGTTTGTAGTGGGACCCGGTTGCGTGGTGCTCTCTCTAAGCCCGAACCAATACCTTAGGCAGAGCTTTTTAGGAAACTCTAGGCTCGGCTAGATCATAAACCAAGAGCCACCCTAATCCCTAGATTCCAGACGCTGAACCCTCAGCCCTTAGCCCCAAATCCTAAATCCCAATCCCTAAACCCTAATCCCGAATCCCTAAGCCCTAAACCCTAAATCTGCAAAGCTTCAACCTTGGTTTGCCCTACGTGTTGGAAACTTGGGCCCCTGGACCACAACAGTTTAGGGTTGAAGGCCTATGCCCGCCAAAAACCCTAAGCCCTTTCTACCTCCTACGCCGCTGATGTAGAAACCTTAATGGTTGGGTCTGTGTGTCCTCATATAATTAGATAGCTTCTGGCTGCACATGCCCTAACATGAGTAGACTTAGTCTCCGACATTACATCTTCCCCTAAATCCGAAGCCCCATGTAAGCCCTGAAACTCAACGACTTCGACAATGAGTGCACATTCTTAGGGTTCCTCGTGCGGGCCAAACCCAAAAATTCAAACCCTGCCCTAGACTCCAAACCAAAAAGCCTGAAACCCCCAAACCTGAAGCCCCAGGCGCCTTAAACCCAATCAACGATCTGAGGCTATCGGCATGGAGGTCTGGAACCCAGCATGCACAGCGGCTGGCACGCAGAATTGCATGCAGTTGAGGTTCAGGTTTTGGGCTTAGGGCTTACAACCCTACATCCCTAAACCCTGAACGACATGTTGCGTGGGGTAGAGAACTGAAAACCAAGGCTTTGGGTTTCGGGCTCAGGGCTTGGGGTCCCCATGACGAAGGTAAAAGGACACTATGCCAATTACAGGTGTCATTTGGTGATGCCAAAGTAACGCCATAGTAGGGACTGGTTTGTTAGGTATATGACTGGGACCCCATCTTGGGAATTCCCCCGAGTATGGCTACCAGGCAAGTACGGGGTGGATGGTGGGTCTATTAGAACCCCATGTTGACTTCCTACACCAGCAATATGGACTCTTGTGTCAGTTGTGTATTCACAAAAGCCCCAAAAGGGGGACTCCTAACTTGCAAGCTGGCATGCGGGGATAGCCCAACTCCCGCCCTACACTTCCCGTATACTATAGGGTCCCTCAGGGCCGCTCTTTTTGGAGAACCCCCTTACTGACGGACAAGCAAGCCCCCACGGTCCCGTGTGGTCGTGAGCAGTCGTTGCTTGTAGCCTGGCCGCGGAGTTTAGGAGCATATACGCTTCAATAAGACTGGTAGGGCTGGTAGGGTTACTTTGACTGTGGTTCTATCCCCCTCCGTATGACAAGAGGGAGTTCTCTTCCCGAGGTCCCTAGTCCCCCACTACAACACTGCTCAAATTCTGGCTATTCTGTGCAAGGTGAGAAATGGGGGTTGCCTCGAAACACCCATGTGGAGAAGAACCTGTACACATTTTTTGAGAGAAAAATAGTGCGGTAGCCATGACTCAGAATGATGTTCTGATTGTCATAGGCATGCCAAAAAGTTTGATAAAATCCTGGTGTATGCTGGTGTGCCCCTAAACCCTGCACTCGATGCATTGCAGGGCCTGCAATTCTCTGCTATGGCCGTCTTGTGCTACCGGAAGCAGGAGGCTGGCGATGGCAGTCACTCGGACCACGGGCATGTGTATCTCTCTACATGATTGTTGTACTGTCCCAGATATGGACCCCCAAGATTTGATGCGAAATCTGCGTGTAACCACGTGCTTGCCTAGGGTCTGGAAGGGTTTGGGGAGCCCCTAGTATGTAATACGCATACCCAAAGAGACTGCAATTGATGTGGGGTTTCCAGAAAGTACACCCTAACATAAATCCCAAATGACGCAATCTTCATCATAGGGACTTCCAAAAGTTGACCCTAGCTTATTGTTGGAAACCCTAAACCCGATACACTGTACATAACCGGCGTATCCGCTTGTGAGGTGACGCCTAATGTTTGGAAACCCTATAGGGCGGGCCCCGAAGTGACCGCCACAAGTGAGACTTTTTAGCACAAGTTTCACAGGAGTACTGTATGTGCCTCCATAGAGGCCTGCTAAAGGAACGCGCAAAAATTTACGCACCATGACAATCTTTCAGTGCCGCATTTGAACTCCACAAGTCACACAGCTTACGGTTTACCATAGAAGCCTACTCCTTTCTACTGCTGTTCCCTCCATAATCCTGACACAACTAATTTACACATGTATACCTTAGTCATATGCTAGTCAGAAGGTCCTCATTTCGGAGGTTGCTATTACCAAAATCCCCATAATAGCATCTCAACGCGTATCCACGCTTATCCAACAAACGCACAAATAGCACATGCACTCTGGCAGCCTATTTGTGCTGACCTTTCGAATCCTGAACTTCTTCCGTGTTAGAAAGAGAAGACTGCATCAAGCTGACGCAGAGCACTAACGTAGAAGCCGGAAAAAGTTGTCAACTTCATCCTTTTATTTGTAGTCCAAGTAAAGGCTGCAGTACACATACGCCCCAGCTTCTTACTCTTCAGGCGCCTAAGTTATCCCATTCCTGAATCTGACCCAGCACAGATTCTGCTTTGTGGCAGAAAAAGAATCGTACCGGAATATTTCGCTCATCAGGTGAATACCGAATTTGGAAAAGACACCTAATGTATGTGTGGGGTGCGAGTTCATTATGGTTTTGGTGGGTGCATTCACGGGGTGACCTCTTGAGGACGACGACGAACTCAAGAAAAACAGTCATCCTTCTTCAGCAAAGCGGCTTACGGGTAAGGGTTAAGCCCCTTAACCCCAAACCAGCACTTTGCCAATTGTTAGGCGCTGTTGCGCTTCCGCACAGTCTACTACTTGATGATCTTCCGGCCATTTGCATGAGCCCTAGAACTTGGCACTCCGTTACGCAAATTGAGACTTGGATAACTCGTTTCTGTATTTGCGTACTGTATAGTAAGACTTTTTAACGCAAAAGATCAGAATCTGCCGGATTGTTCTTGCATTCCTGTTGCAGTTTCATGTTTGGCTCAAGGTAATGTATATTGTTGACAGCTCAAGCGCTGTCCCTTGGTTAGGGAATAGAGATTCAGATAAACAGTCAAGTGTCTTTGTCCTGAAAGAACGGCCGCTGATTTACCCCTAGGCTGTGACCTCAACACAGACGCTTTCAACACAATCCGTATACAATGCGAAACGAGGATCCCTGCAACCTCCTCCTGCTCACAATCCTCGATCATAAGTCGGGTCCCTATGGTAGCCCTATGTGAGAAAATTTGCAACCGTGAGTTCAAATAGGGCTTCACTGACTGCAACTGAACATTATACCTGCTATAAACCCTATATGCCTCTAGGGCCCCTGCAGATACCCAATGTTGAGAAACTTGCAAGGCCTAAGCCCCAAACCCTAAACGCTGCACCCTAAACCCGGAACCCAGGTTCTTCTTACCATCCAGCTGAACCTCTTGACTGACATCAATACACAGTGGGCCATGTCTTGTCTGAAGGAGGTCCTGCTGGGCGTTTCTCAAAAGAGGGCTACACTTACAATCTAAGGGAGATGTAAGGACTACACAGGGATCAAGGGGCCCTATTAGAAGTTATATAGAGGCTAGTAATTTAAAGCGATTCCATTTCAGGGTTCAGGGTAAGAAGGGCTTATTTTTGAGGGTTTGCGACGCAAGGCTTAGGATGTGGGGTTTGAGGCTTGGGGTGTGGGGTTTAGGGATTCTGGCTTGGAGTTTTTAGGGTTCAGGGCCTAGTGTTTGGTATGAAGGGCTCAGGTTATCTAATTGTTGAGGGTTTGGCGCTTGAGGTTTGGAATTCAGGCGCTAGGCGGCCCTCAAGAGGATGCAATGTTCAGTGGTTGAGGGCCCGTCATTGAGTTTAGAAGGTCGTTCAGACAACCCCTAAAACCTAAATCCTAAATCGCTCTCTTCTTCTGCTTTGGAGAATACAACAGGAAACTACTCCTAGGCAATAACTGGGTTGCTGTTAAGGAACTTAAATTAAGTTACCATAATGGGTATATATAGAAAATAATAGGGTTGCCCCAATATAGTAACTTAATTTAAGTTCCTTAACAGCAACCCAGATAAGGGGGGTCTCTGGCTCGACAGAAATCTGCACTCTTTAGGGTTTAGGCCCCCACCCAGTAATAGTGACTATAAGGGATAATAGGGATTATGCTAGGGTCCTCTTATATTCGTAATATACCACTATTACAGGGTGGGGGGGTCCTCCTAAGGTTTAGGCTTCAGGGTTGGTTTGTAGTACACATTGACAGTTTCTAGGAGGGCAGCTTCTGTAGTAATCCCTTCATGCAAACATTCCCTGCTGGTAAGATATCCCTGTTATATGGAGCACCATTCAATGGGTTCATCAAACCTAGCTGGTTTTCGGCAGCAAAGTGTCAGACGGCTAGCAGATTCTCGCGACAGTCTCCGAAAATACCAACCTGCGCAAGGGCCTAAACAGGTGGGGCCTTAAATTTGAAAATGACACGGCCATCTTCGTGCTACCGGCGCATTCACAAAGGGCAGGCAGTTTTGGCAACTGAACCGCACTTGTTTTTTTCAGCACCAGCCTTAGGCAATCAACCCCTGCAATCCTTGAGCAGTCCCCATCTATCCCTAGCCCTATTTTCAGAATCCCTCATGTGGTGCGAAAGGCCTCCATGTGGTGGATCTACTGGCAGCTCCTTGTCGCCCTTCAACCGACGTACAGCCACGCCCACAGTCCACTCGGGAGTGCTGCAAAACACACTGCCCCAGGGCACCCGAAGGGGTACATAAGACTGCAAGGGTACAACAAAGGGATTTTGATTTGAAAATGAAGAAGTCATTTTGGAGAGACTCCTATCTCGCGCTTCTCCAGGTATGGGCCTATTTTGGTGAGTCCCTCCAACGAGAACAGTTGAATGTGTGGGCTGCACAAAGGAACTTTGAAGTTGAGAAATGCCAACGGCTTCAGCAGAATGTTGTGATGCATTTGGAGCGGACCGAGAACCCTGAGACCTTTGATGTTAGCCGGTAGAGTCCGATGGAGCGTACTTGCAGGGCCAGGGACGCTTCGCAAGTCTTATCGATAGATTATGTGTTACATCACCAACCAACCTCTTATAGCCATATGGCCCCAAAACAGATCCCAATAGACCATCGTCCTTATTCTAAGGACCCCAAAATGGTACTAGCTATCCCCATGATTCGCATAAGTCTTGAACATCAATACCTCAGTTCGAGAACCAGCAGCCAAGCCCTCAAAGCGTGACAACCATCTACCTGATAGAGCCCTTTCCACTATTCTACTAGACTCCCTAAGACTCTCTTGAACGACGCTCCCAGGAATCGACTTGTTCATGTTGTTCGCGAGTCCGGCCCTTGATTCATGTTTTTATGCAAGCAAAGGTACTTCTCCCAAAGGGGTGGCTCCGAATCTGAACTAAAAAGAAGCATATTCTGAGTGCCCCTAATTATTGGTCTCCTCATTGTTTCTTTCTTGTCGTAGGGGTAGGGGCGTGGGAGAACGACGTTTACAACACGCGCAAGCACCTGCCAGCGCTCATCGCCCATGTCATTGTTGGCAGCGGCAGCGGCGTTGGTGGTGGTGGCCTTGGCGGTGGTGGAACTGGTGGTGTTGGTGGCGGCGGCCGCGACGGTGGTGGTTGGGGCGGCTCAACACCCCTGAACTGTTCAACCCTCAAACCCTCGAAGTTGAACACCTTCCAGGCGGTACTTGGAACGGTGGCACGGACTCCACGAACCCCTCCGGAGAGTTTCGACAAGGATGCTTGCTGTAATGTCGAGGGTGTAGGGTTGGGTCTATGCTAGTAATCAGACTGAAGATGTCTAGGAGTATTCTGTCACTTTGCTGACAAGGCCATTCTAGTTTCATGGGTGCTCGTCGGAAAGCCGCAATCAACAAACACACCCCAATTCCTTTGGAGGCGGGGTTCCCTAAAAGGGCGGAAGGTTATTCTGTGTCAACACGAGGTCCCGATTCGCGTATGAGGGGCGGCGCTGTGACGGGAATCTATGTACAATTCGGCAATTCATGATCACTGGCAAAGGATATTGTGAGCCCAGTGCCACTGTGAGTGTATTCACTTGATGAATTCCGCAGCCAACTTCATATGGGTCTGTGCCATCTTTAAGGCCTAGATCTACCTCTACTCGATGACAGAATCCTAGCCCTAAATCCCAAAGCTGTCATGTAAACTCATGTATAAGCATATAAACCCTTCCTAGATCATGGTTCTACACTCCTTGCATAGCTGTGGTACGTATAGGGTGTCAAAAAGACCTCAAACTGATGTGGGCAATTGGTAATTACTCCGACCCCTACATTCCAGAATCCCCTATAAGCCATGTAAATCCAATTTCCATTCCATTGTCCTTTTCCATGTGCTTTTCCATTTGGCTTGCCATTATCCCCAAACGTTTCAGCCTAACTGATGGCATATGCCTAAGCCCCGAACCCTAAACCCTAAACCCTGTGTGTATCGCGCGTGCAGGCAGGGCGGCGGTGATGCCAGACCCCCAGCCAGCCGGGCGCCTAGCAACGTGTGGGTACAGCCTGTTTCTGGTTTAGGGTGTAGGGTCTAGGGCTTAGGGTTTGGGGCTTAGGGAGGCTTGTGAGTGGAGTGCTCAAAGAATCCACCATCCCTAACCCCTAGGCCTGAATCGCCAAAGCCTAACCCTAACACCTTGAAACCCTAAATCCTAAAACCCTAAGCCCTAAACCCCAAGCCCGTACATACTGGACCCTGAAGGTAGGCCTTCTTTGGAACCCTAAACCCTAAACCCTAGAAGTCATATGAGCCGTAGTCTAAACTCCTAGTATCCCCCTTAATAACCCTTATAGTAGTCCCCTATATGATCCCTTATACAAAACCGTTTAAGGAGTTTCGACTTTTGCTCATGTAGAGTTGGGGTTTGTCGCAGCTCGTGCATTCGGCTGCCACATGGGGGTTTCCTAAAATTGGGGGTACCTTTTTGGGGGTCCCCATAGAAAGGACTATAGTATAATGGGTTCTATTACCCCTTATTCTGGGAAACTGCCATATGGGTTCCTACATTTTGTCACACTCCCGTTGGGAACAGAAATTGTGGCCAACAATCCCAGCACCATCCCCTCGACCCTAAATTCGTAACCTACACTCGAAGCCCCAAACCCCAACCCTAAGCCCAAACCTTTTAAACCTTAGCCCCAAACTCAAACCCCTCCACCCTAAGGCCCCACACCCTAAGCCCTATACCATAAACCCCGAACCCCAAACCCAAGCCGCAAACCTGGCCAGGATGACTTGGAGGAACCCTTGCCTCTTCCAGATGTTGTGGAGGAGGTTCAGGAGCGACCAGGCAGGGCCTAGGGTCTAAGGGTGAATGGGTTCAGGGGTTAGGGTTTAGGGTTTGGGGGTTCAGGGTTTAGGGTTTAGGGGTTCAGGGTTTGAGGTCATTGGGTTTAGGGCTTGGGGTTAATCATGGGTTCCCCTACTACCTCCATTAGGCTTAATTCTCCTTAAAGTAACTGTAATGATGGGGGAACCTAGGGGGGTTAGTATGGAGGGGGGTAGTAGGGGAACGCATGAGTCACGAACTTAGGGCTAAGGGAATGGCGCAGCTCAGGGTGCACTAGTAGGGTGCACGAGTGCAAGGCTTAAAACGAGGTATAACCTTCCGGATTGTTATGGTGGCTTCCACACTACGTCACGTACCGTTTTTAGTAGGGTTTAGGGTTTCTTGGCGGTAGTGTTCCTTCAGAATATTGCTGAGAGGATACATTGGGTGTCCTTTTGGTAATAAGATCCTAAAAACCCAACTCCCAAATTCAAACCATGGGTGATGCGTCAAGGCGATGGTGCTTTTTGGGAATGTCCCCAAAACGGGTATGCCTTAGGTGGACCCCCCACCCAGTAATAGTGACTATAAGGGATAATGGTGATTATATTAGGGCCCTCTTATATTCCTATTATAATCCATTATACCACTATTACAGGGTGGGGGGTCCTCCTCAGGTATGCCCGTCTTTGGCGTGTCCCTCCCTTGGGTTGGGGTCTAGGGCTTTGGGTCCTGAAAGTCCCAGACCTAGCCTTGTCTTGCTTGCATGAAGGTATACTACAGAGCTTACGAATGGAAATGTAAGAGCCCATGTAGAGATTATTATGAGATACTCCCATCTAGACCCTTAACCCTAGAATTTGAATGGTAGTTTCCCAAAATAAAGTGTCCCCCAAGATAGACACCGATACTCTATAATCCTTGTAATAGGTACCCCCCCAAAGGTACCCCTTATGTTGGGAAACTCCTAACTATCTAGCGCATGGCTTCTGCTTCTATGTTTCTTGCGCCAGGTCATAGACTCTTGACACGAGGGTTTAGGGTTTAGGGTGTCTGTTGCAATTTATCCTAAAGGCGAGTGTTCAAGTACCCAAATTGTAGCTTCCCTAAATAGGGGGATCCTATATCGATCCCCGAATACTCTCTGTGTGTATATGATATTTATGGGGACCCACCAAAAAGGGACCCCTAAATTTGGGAAACCTCAAAATAGCAGATAATTTGGGCCCGATGTGCCTGCATACGAAGCCATGCGGCCCTTTCAAAGCATTCTGATTCGGGTACATGCGCCCTTAGGGCAACAGGATTCAAAACTAATGAGACGCTGCTGTGACCATGCTACACCTTGATAGTCCATACATCGATGTGGGCCAAATTCTCTCTCTTGTAACTTTGCTGCGCGCCCAAGAGAGGCATAAGGTTGCAGCTACAGGAGCCTGATTGATGGGGTTTCAGTCTTGATATGAGCCACTGTCTAAACTCCTAGTATCCTCCTTAATAGTCCCTATAATAGTCCCTATATTATCCCTTATATAACCCCTTTAAGGAGTTTAGAAAATAGCTCATGTTGCTGTGGAAGATGGCCAGCTTTTGAAGTTGTGGACTTATGGAGCTACTTTCCGGTATATACCTTCCAATCATATGGGGCTTTCCATTGTCCATTCTTTCATTCACTACTTACCCTAAATCCTAAGCCCTAAGTGATATAGTAGTCTTGATTGTCCTTTCCATTCCTTCGTTCCCTACTTACTAACCCTAGACCCTGAGCACTAGATATTAGTGTAGTTTCCATTGGTTCTTGATCCTTACATTATCCCCTACTAACAACGAGTAAAGCTATAAGAGCCAGGGCAGCAAGCACGCCAAGTGATGGCAACAAATCTCGACAGCCTCCAGCTCAGATGCGGATTCTAATCTCAAGCTGAGCAGGGGGTCCGCGCGGCCGCGGTTTTTCAACTTCCTATAGGAAAGGACCTGCTATAACCCCATTATAGTAGTTTCCATTTTCTTTTCCATTATCCCCATATAACCACTATATATCCCCAATATACTATAGTAGTTTCTATTTTCTTTTCCGTTACTCTCCCTTATCCCTATATAGCCCCAATATACTATAGGGAGTCATCGGGTTCAGAGTGTAGGGCTCCTCAAGGCAGTGGTTCTGGAGGTCCCGGGTTTAGGGTTTAGGGTTCATGGTTTAGGGTTTAGGGTTACTCCCCTAAACCCGAAACCCTAAATCCTCTGTGTGGTTCTGCGCGAGCATGGGGGTTCCACTGATACGGCCAGAAAAATGCCTGCAATGAGGAGGCTCAAGAAGAGCTTTCAGGTGTGGCTCTCTGTTGTGTTTTTTGAGGTAGATATTAGGATTTAGGGCTTAGGATTTCGGATTTAGGGATTAGGGTTTAGGATTTAGGGCTTTCGGTTTAGGATTTGGGGTTCAGGGTTTAGCTTTTAGGGTTTTAGGGTTTAGGATTTAGGGTTTGAGATTTAGGGACCCAGCAACAGTGACCATAAGGGATATTTGTATGTATGCCACTATTACAGGGTGGAGGGTCGGTCCAGCTAAGGTAGACAAGGCATGGCATCTTTTACAGGGTTTTGCATGAAGTGTTGCTTTAGCGCCCCTCTGGGCTGTACCCTAATGTAACCCCAATATAAGCCTAATGTAGCCCTAAGATGACTTTAGTATAAACCTAATAAATCCCTAGTATAACCCCAAGATAACCCTAATGATGTGGCACGCATCTCTAAACCCTAAAGGCTGACCTATATATAGGGTTCAGGGTTTAGGGTTTAGGGATTTAGGGTTTAGAGTTTAGGGTTTAGGGTTAAGGGTGTCTAATCTCCGTATAGCCTCAAAGAAGTGTAGATCATCAGAATTCCGTAGACAGACAACCCTCAGGACTCAGGCCCTATGAATAAGCTAGGACCCAGGGAGTTGCTAATTCTTGCTAGGGTGGTTGTAGTTAGGGGACTATTATCGCAAAAGTACAGTAAGTAGCAGGCTGTTGCTATCCCGACCCTTCAAGTGCGTGTGTAGCAGCCCCTGCAGCATCCTTGAGGGGTCACCCAATACTTTCCCCACAATCCCCACATGTGGTTTAGGGTTTAGGGCGTTTGGAGATAACTTAGTTTTGGGTGCCCTAAGCCCTTGAACCTTTTGGGAGACGCCCTATCTCAGGTTACTTGCTGCTCCAAGCCACAGTGCAGGCCACGTTGACATTCATCTGGGAGGCATGTAGGGTCTAGGATTACGAAAAAGCCCGATTCACGCACCAACCCCGATTCAAGCACCAACGATTCAAGCACCAACGATTCAGGAACTATCCGATTCACGCACCAACGATTCACGCACTACGCCGGACTGATGCATGCACCAAAACGACCCGATTCAGGCACCAAAAAAGGCCGATTCATGCACCAAAAGGAGTCTTGCTCCAGGGTGTCGAGCTTAGGGTTTATAAGGTTTACGGTTCAGGGTTTCGGGTTCAGGGTTTAGGGCTTAGGGTTCAGGTTTGGGTTGGTTTAGAGATGAGGGTTTCGGGTTCAGGGTTTAGGGCTTGGGGTTTAGGGTTTAGGGTTTATAGGGCTGGTTTACGGCTTAGGGTTTCGTCGTGGTTTAGGGTTTAAGGTGCTCAGGGTTTAGGGTTTAGGGTTTAGGGTTCAGGGCTGGTCTGGGGCTTAGGGCTTAGGGTCTCGTTGTGTTGGTGCGCCAAGCAGCTGTTTTAGTGCGCTTGGTGCGCGATGCAGCGTTTCTTCGGTGCACGAATCTGTCTGTGGTAGTGCGCCAATCTTTGGTGCCCGAGTCCTTGGTGCGCGAATCCGACGGCGTAGTGCGCGAATCCGCCGGGCGTAGTGCGCGCATCACGTGTTTCACGTAGTGCGCGAATCCGCCCTTTTGGTGCGCAAATCTGCGTTTTTGGTGCGCGCGTTGGTTTCCAACCTTAGGCCCGATTAGGGTGATTATTTAAGGGAATGGTCTGGTCCCCTTTGTCTTTGGACCGCCATATGGGGAATTATATGAGGGAGTATTGGCGGGGTGAATCAGGTGGATGCTAGGAGTTTAGGCTATAGCTCACATGATTGAACTTTAGGTGCCCAAAACACTGTTGTTTCTGTGAGATTATTGTGCCTCCGATGTAAGTACTTTGGCCCTTGGCGCTATTTCGTGCAAAAAATCAGCGGCAGCTGGAGCCGCATATCAAGAAGTTTACGTTTGCACTATCTTCCTGAGGTTCTGTTGAACAAGGAGCATTGGCATTAACCTAAAACAGCGTCCCCAAAACCTTGAACAAGCACAATGAGATGCACCCCAGACCCCGTTATGATCTGTTCGCCCACATAATTTCCTGCGACGCTTCTCCTGGGAACCCCATGGTACGTCTACTTCCCACACGAACCCTTGTGTAGTTGTTCAAGACCCTTACAGATACTCTAGTAAACTCTGAGCATGGCTCTGCTGTTCAGGAAGCTAAGCTAGGCTGCCATAGTATGGGTATAGAGATACAGTAAATCATGTAGTTTCGTGACCATCAAAGCTGAAACTGATTTGAGTTCCTCAACACATTTGAGTTCCTCAGCAGCAGCCCATAAAACCCTAAACCCTCAGCCCTCTAAACCCTAAATCCTAAACTCTGAAACCCTAAAACCCCCAGCCCTCATGTGCAGGCGGCCATGGTGCCTGGAGAAGCAATGGAGGCAGCGACACCGTACTTCCAGCTAGTGGACTAGTGGAAAAATCGACGCGGCACTTCTGATGTTTAGAGTTCAGAGTTGATTAACTTGTGAAGCTAGGATTTAGGGAACCGCCCCCCATAACCACCCTTTGTTGGGTTCCTCTTGAATTAGACCCGAAATAGACTGGAGTAATGGGGCACTCAAACGGGGTAGTATTGGGAACACATGCTGTTGCCGTAGAAACCACGTGGTTTAGGATTTAGGGTTTGCCTTGCCCCAAGACCTAGGTAGGAACAAGGAAGCCCCATGGAATCCTCGTCTACTGTGGGGTGTAGTCACTCGCGCCTACAGGCAGTTGTCGGTTTAGGGTTCATGGCATTTGTTTTTTCGGCTACCCTTCCTCAACACGACTTGCCCTTTGATTCGGTATGCTCATCCACTTCACCTTGACATTTCACGTTGGCGCTGTGAAGAAACATTCGAAAATCAGAGCAGGGGTAGAGAAAAAAATGCTAACCGCTGCTAACCCATAGCAATCAGAAATTTGGAACCCCGAAGTCCACCTTGACCTTACCCTTTGTGAAAGGCGCCGGCAAAGTGATCTCCTGTTTTTTTGCCAGGTTGTGCCAGGGCAAATTGAGGACAGGGTGAAAGTCCCCAACAGATGAAGAGTTTTACATGGAGATAAGACATGTTTTGCAGCATGCATTGCCTGCAAAATTTCTGAAGGACGTAAGTGTACTAATAATTCAGGTTTCTCGCGGATGAGCTTTAGGTTTGGGGGAGTGTCTGAATATTTCGTAAGTACTTGGATGCCTTGGGAAGCGAGTAGTCTGAATGGTGAAAAGCCACGGCATCCTTTGTTATGTGGGACATCTGAATTGTGTAGATACAGGGGTGGTGTAAGGATTCTCTAGGATTTGGCACCCCAGACCCGCAACATGTCCCTTTTACAAGAACAGTTCCATTCCATGTCATTTAGCTACCTGATACCCTCTGATATCGATGCACTCTTGCCCTTGGCTGTTGCAGGCTCTGGTACTATTGATATCAGTGCTTTGACTGTCACAGGGCACTCCAGTCACACAGCCTGCATACCCTCCCCCAACTAGCCCAAAAAAGGACCCTTTGTACACATGGACAGATTTAGAACAAATCCTTGCCGCAGCCGTCTGGCTTTTGGCTCCAAACACTGAAGCGGAATGTCAGTCTATCCAATTTGCATTCGAACAGGTGTTGCAGCTAGACTTGTTGTTGGCAGTTTCTCCTGCGAAATATAGCAAGTTGCAAAAACGAGCTGACAAAATCTTTAGTAGGTCGCTCCTGTAGCTTGCATTGGATTAGGACTTGCGGCATACATCAACAGCAGCGGCGAAGCTCAAATGCGTCGCAGAAATGCTGAGTTTTTAGCTTGCGACTCCAGGATGCAGATGTGATTTCAATGATTTTGTGCCAGCGCGGCCTACGCTTCTGCTTCAATGCCAGCACGTGTGTGGGGTCGTGTCATCCGAGCAGCTGGTGCCTTGAGTGGCTTGGCATCTTTTTCGGTTGCGGTTGGTGTCGGACTTGCTTTTCTGGCCTAACTAGTGAAAAAAATTAGTGAATAGGTGAGCAGCAAAGTAGGGAACTACGACAAGTGGCTTCACGATTGTTGGGAACCACTGTATTCTCTGCTCCCTGATATTACACATATCCCACCCTGAGCCTCTTAGAGATTCCTTATAGCAGTCCACACAAATATATCTATACACGTATGTACATATATTCAGGATTTAGTGAGGGTTTAGGATGTTTTTGCTTGCCCGTTTGTGTTTTTGCGTAAGAATATCTTTAGTATACCCCAGAAGGCTGTTTCCGGCACTCTTGTCCAAGACACTTACAAGTACTATCGTTGATATTGCAAGTCCTGCCTGCCCCTAAGTACCCGAAGCACTGGCAACTTTCGTATCGTGGTAGATTCAGATCATGCAGGATACATTAACAGCATGAGTGCCTCATCTTTCAAGGCTTCCGGCTGCGATTGTTGTGCGAGCATATGTTGTTCCGACTGTACTCCCCGTGCACTTCGAACGCTACTGCACAGCGAACCAAGGTAATCACATGGAGTGAAGGCTCCGGGTGGAAGACGCCAGCCATGATCGGCCGGCTGAACACAGCAGATGTCCTGATCTCGGGCTTTGCTGGGGCCTAGTTTTGAAGACGCTAAACCATCCACGGCTTCAGCTCTTGGGCAGGTCAGTTTGCCGCCCTTCGGCAAAGCCGCATGCACGGCGTGCAATGAACTACCCGCTGCGGTTGCACAAGTGGAAGCATGGTCAAAGCGCGACTGAAAGCGGCAGGCATAGTCCCAACGAGCCCTTCCCAGATACTCCAGGGAGCCCTAGACCCTGAACCCTCAACTCTAAATAGTAGTTTCCATTGTATTTTCCATAATCCCATATACAACCCCAATATAACATACTGAAGCATACCATCAGGCTCAGCAGTTGCGAGCTGGACCAGGCTTTCCAGGACTGGCCAGTGTGAGGGTCCAGCAAATGCGCCTTGCCATGGCCTGTGCAGCAAACCCTTGAGAATCCACACTGGTTGCTGGGAGGGTAAGGCCTCCTGCTGGTTGCAGAAACTTTCGTATGAGAAAATCTGATCACCTCGTACCCGTACTTTTCCCGTATGGTCGGAGTATGCATCTGCAAGTCTCAAAGCGCCAGGTTCCTGGGCTTGTGCCGACACGGTGCTTGCATGTTCCCGGCTAAACAAAACCCTAATGCCTAGGCCATGAACCCAACACCTGCACATTTGTGCCTGACTCCGTGCTTTTGAGTTACAGGTCCCACAGGCTGTTAATTATACACCTTGGTTCGAGTTGAGGAAGCCCAGACGATTTGGGCCGCATAAGGGATGGACAGTCTCAACAAAGGAGCTGAAGCGCAGAAGCGCAGAGGGGAGGGTTTGAGATGGTGGGTGGGGAAATCTGTATAGCCCGACTCTAACTCTGGCCCGTGCTCAGGTCTCTAGTGCTACTACAGGACGCCCGGCCTTCCCTTTTATCATGGACTGGCCTTGCGGCAGTGAGCCCCGCAGGCTGTTCTGAGCTAAAATTTCCCAATCAGTGCAAAGATGGAGTTGACCCCCCCGCGGGCAACACGGTAAGCCTGTACGGGTGGTAGCGGTCAAGAGAAAGACACCATGCCACTCAGGTCAGCTAGGGCCTTGCTGATTTCTTGCCAAGGCAACGCGCTACGCGTCCACAGCGGTCCGTTTTGTGAGAATCCGCCTGAGAGAGATAGGACTCGCTGCGATTCAATATAGGGGTTACATAGGGATAATGGAAAAGAAAATGGAAACTACCATAGTATATATGGGGTAATATTGGGATAATGGAAAAGAAAATGGAAACTACTATAGTATATAGTCAGAATCAAAAGTTTGTACGCATGGCGTTTTTGGCGCTGATGCTCTCACCTAGCAGCTGCAGCCAAATTGTACTCCACCAGCTAGCAACGCGCCGTTCTTTCGCAGCCCTGAACAATGTT